TGGTACGGTGCAATCCAGCAGTCACGAGTCCACAGCAATCCTCCTACGGCTTCCGTGGGAAACATATTTTTAGCAATAATCCCCTACGCATTTTCCCTTTCGAATAAAATAAAAAGTATGACAACGTGTGATAATTAAGAGACTCGTCGAAAACCAGTTTCTTCTCATACACACAAAGTCACTCCGACTCCATTCCATTCTGAGTTCCGTCCATTTTTTTCCTTCTCATCCTCAAGGCATCGGATGGCTTCAAGACCTGTGCGAAAAAAAACTGCACCTTCGTTGCGGAGGCATCGGCGAGAAGGTCAGTCGAGCTCATGTCTGGAAGGCGCCGGATGAAGGCGCTGCGCCGTCTGCAGCCTCCCTACGGCCCATGCCCACTAAGCTCCTGTCTTGACCCTTGGAAAGGAGACGAGGAGGACGAAGGGCCGCTCTTTGACGACAAGAGTGTCGAAGAGGGCTTCCAGAATCGGGACAGACAGTCTACAAATCGTCAGGTACTATGGCAACTGAAGACAGACGGCCTCCAATGATGATGCAGACTCTGTTTCTGCACCAGATTACCAAGCTCAAACTTCTCACTTCCTCAAGATCCAACCACTGCGCCTTTTAGCGTAGATCCGAAACCGAGGCGGTTTTGGATGTGAGTTTGTGCATGTGTGTATGTAAGTTTGCGTGTGTATGTGCCAACTGAACTCACTGGTGCGCTGAACCAAATCGTCGCGACAGACATCATTTGTATGCTTATGAAGCCTCAATCGAGGCACTGTAAGGTGACGGGTTGTGTGCATAAAATGAATCTAATTGCTATGTCTTTCACTATGACTGAATTCTCAATTTCCTTTTGGTCTCGTTGTTCCCTTCTGAAGCACTAAGCCCACAGGCAGAATCGATGCCGCACTGGGTCACATAGAAAGATAGACCTCTACAAAAAAGTCACACTTAGGGTGAACATGTCGTTGGGATCAACTTGTATTGGCCATTGCGATCGGCCAAACTACTTATATTTATAAGTAGCCTTCGTTTGTCTAGCCTTCAGACCTGAATTGGGTCGGATGGCGGCTTCGAAGGAGCCTTTAAAGCTTGGATACAAAATCTTTCTGAGTCTGCTCGAAACGCTGTCTTCCTGTCGACTTTCTGCACACGTCAAATCGACGCATTTGTCATAATTCTCAAAGGTACTACTAACTAACAAATAAGTAGTTCCCAAAAGCCTATCCAAACAATCCTGCTAGTTTATAAGGCTTCTAAATCGGAGTATATTGGGCGCATCGGTTATGCAGAATTGTGAAAGCATAATTGTCATGAGATACTTCTGTCGGCTCTATTAAAAGTGTCTTCATACGAGTTGTAGCAGTTAGCTGAAGTCTAAAGCTGCAACCACGAAGACTCCGTCATGTAACGGACATCGTCAGCAAGAATTCATTATTTAGAAAAATTCACCAAAAATAATAGACTAAGAAAGGAGTTGTGTTGAAATGATATGAGATGTGATCACTTGAGAATCGTTTAGATACTTGACTATAGTCGTTTTGATATGAGTTTTGTTGGGTTTTTTTAATACGATTTTATGCGAGATGATGGATTGTGGAGCATTTAATTGTGACATCTTTTGATGAGATATAAATAGTTGCGGGTTTTGGCATTTTTAGTGAATTTTTCTAAATGATATTTTCTGGGTCTTACGATGCTCGTCACATGAAGAATGCATCGGGGTCAGAGGACGATTAGTTGAAGTCCTATTTTTCATACAATCCGGCATTCACAACTGACCAAAGACAATACTCCTTCCTTGTCGAGTGAGACCAATCTACGAAAGAATCTC